GGGAGCAATACTAGCCCCTGCTGCTTCCACATGGCAGGTGCCCTCCCTTAGACACTCGTTGTATACGTCCAAAAACATCTCCGGCATCGCGTGGTTAGCTGACTTCAGCGCAACGTTCGGGATACCATCCAGGCTAGGAGCCTTGGTGTTACCCACTCTATTGCAGGCCTTCAGCAGCTCTTCTCTGGTGATTTTTGGTACCATCACTCCTTCCATTGTTCAGAAGGACGGTGAAATTCCGGTTGTTGTGGGAACAGCACCTCCACAATTTTCTTCAGGAGCACAGGATACGATGGTGACGGCATTGGTTGACTTATAAGTCGTGTCATCACCACCTTGTAAGGTCTCCCCCATGGATCGCATTCCATCTCGGTAAGAAGCTCGCTCCGACATTGCTTCTTACTGTGCTTTATGGCTGTGCTGAGCTTCCGGCGTGCCTTCTTGTATCTCATCTCAAACTCCTCGAAATTTGTTTTTTTGCGGCTACGCTGAGATAGTCTCCTGGCTGCGTTACATTCCTTCCGTAGGACAGCAATGGTTTCATTCCACCAATATACCGGTGGATGTCGGTTTAAGTTCCGCTTTCTCGCCGTGGTAGCATTGCAAGCTTCGATCACTCTTTTCACGATGCTATGTACCGTTTCAGTACCATTGTTGCCACTGATTGGACGATCGTCTAGCGGTACTGAATAAGAGCTAGGATCAAAGTGCTCACCCTCCAGCCAATGCAGTTAGCCTTTTTCGGCGTTAATCCGATTCTCTGATCAGTACAGGTCTCCCCGAATATAGCCCGCTGGTCATTCGCAGTGTAAATATCAGTTACTCTTCATGAGCAGTTTCTCTTGGCAAGAGTGCTGCTCACGAAGGTGAGATGCGTAACTGCGGGCTTCCACGTCGTCTTCTTCTCATTTTTCTGAGCTGGTTTTTAGGGTTTCTGCTTGGGCAGTCTTTTCCCCCTCCTTTCCCTTTACTTCTTTCCAGTCCGGCGGTTTGGCGGGCGGCTCGGGAGGTGGCAGATCCTTCACCGTCGATGCCTGCTACTTCGGCTTCTTCAGGTCTCGAGTTTCCGTCCCTGGTGAGTTTTTCAGGCTACGTTTCCTTCGCTTGCCTTTCTTAATTTTACGCTCGGTCTCCTCCACTTCGGAGTTCTTCACCGTCGTTTCGGAGTCCATTCGTGAATGCTGAATTTCTAGAGGTATTTGCACCCTTAATCGCACCGCCTCAGTATTGGGCCTTTGGTCCTTCGCCCATGCCTCTTCACGGCACCGGAGCTTCACGAAATCACCAATGACCGTGAACATCCTGGTTTTAATTTCTTTGTGGATGTTCGGCCTTCCCTGCATAAATGCGTTCATATCCGTGAGGCGGTTCCAAGGTTGGTCCCATTCATGGATTCGTTCCTTCTCGAGTTGGGCCTGATGCCCATCCCTCCTTGTAGCATGTGAGGCCAAGGAGTCCACCTTTGAAGAGTGTGATGATTGGCTCCTCCCACAACCTGTGGAGCCAGCATCAGCCACCGGGGCTTGCATCCGATCGGAACCGATGGCGGGATTTTCCTTATCAAGGATACCCGCATGAGAACTTTGCATTATGGCATCACTTATCATCTTTATTGTAGGTTGTTCTACGGAGCCCACCCTGCACACCTCTTTTAGAGTTGGGTTTCTCTTCCAAGATGTCCTAAGAAGGACAGGCCTCGGCTTGAACTGCTTCTTAGTTTGGGATGCATCTCCAAGTCCCTCTATCAACCACAAGGTCCTGCAGTTCCTAGAAGGGGACAAGGTCCCGCAGTTCCTAGGAGGGGTGTGTGTGTGTGTGTGTATGTAAGCACGTGACAGAAATTTTGTCGAACGATATCTTGTGACTGGATGGAACGATTCGAAAATCTCTTTTCTCAATCGATGAGTCTTAATGTAACTTAGAGCTGATTAGTTTATGAGAAGAATCCACTCAGCGGTTTTTTAGATATTTCCATAAAACTCCTGAAAAAATGCCAAAAAGCGTTAATTTGATTCAAATTCGACAATTCTCCGTGAAATAACGATGGGATTTGAATCAATTTTATGTAATCGATGTTTCTTCATATGAGTTGATGCGCAGTGGATTTTCAGCGAAATCGCTTCAGCGGTTTAGTTTTTGGAAAAAAAATTTGGAATTTTGTGATTTGAAAAAAGGGAAGAGTTGGAAAAAAAAGTTGGAAAATTTTGGAGTGAGTCAACTTTGAAGTTGAGAAAATTTTGAAGTGGATCAAATTTGAAGTTGAAGAATTTTGAAGTGGGTCAGTTTTGAAGTTGAGGAAATTTTGAAATTGCATTTTCAAGTCGGGGAATTTTGAAGTGAGCAACCTTTGAAATTGGGGAATTTTGAAGTGGGTTTGACATTGAAGTTCGAAAAGTTTCGAGTGGGTCAATTTTAAAGTTGAAAATTTTTCAACTTTAAAGTTAACCCACTCAAGTTAAAAAGCAATGGAAGCGAGCGAGCAACAACTCAGACTAATTTTTTCAATTTCTTTCTCATTTGAAATTCCTGAAATTCGAAAAAATGAAAACACTGAAAATTGATGGAATAGAATAAAGAGAAAAGGATCAACAAATGTAAAAACCTCATTTTTACACATTTCCACTTCAAAGGAAGGTTATCATGAGAATGGTGTTTTCCTCTTGCAATCGAAGTTTTTTGAAATAGAATTGCAACGAATCCATTCGGAAGCATACTACCAATGGAATTGGCAGAAATGAAGAAATGTCAAAACTAATAACGCGTAAACTAATGCTCACATGCCTTCTGTCGGATAGGCACGGCCCCCTGCCTATTCTTCGAATGAACAGAAAAAGAGGAATCGGTCGGGAAGTTATTGGTTCGGCCCATAATGGGTCACACCTAATTCCACCAATCTCTACCGATCACACCCCAACCAGCGAACGAGCGAAGCGAGCGACCAGGCCTGATTTTTTCGGGTTGTAATTGATTCGACGGTCATCGAAAGGTGGATGGATCGATGGGGGATGAATCCTCTCAGAATCAGTCCAGATGTACCCACCCATCGCAGTGGGAAATAACAATAAAAAATGCTAAAACACGGAAAAATAGGCGGAAAATTGGGCCAATTCGGTTTTCATTTATTTTACATTTATTTTTGTGGGAATTTTCCTCATCCAAATGTCAGCTAATAGAATTGCACTATTCGACCGTTATTTCATATAGTTAATACGGTATTCAGCTGATAATTTTTGATAATTCAACTGGTAATTTTTCATGTTGACTGTATTTGTGGAAAACAAAAGATTCCGTTGTCGAGTGAACCCCTGGTTGGAACTATCAGATGGATTTTGTCTCATAGTGCATTTCTTTTGGCTGACATTTGGATGGGAAAATTCCCTCCCGAATACTACTCGAGCTTCAAAATTATTCGAGTAATTCCCTCAAGGTTCCCTGCACACAAACAAACCTATCGGGAATTGCTCGATAATTTTGAAGCTCTCGTGGTATTACTTGTGGAAATTCACTCATTATAATTGATACCCATAAAAAATTACGAGAATATAATCGATCCATTGAAAATAACGACTTTTTTTGTCGTTTGTATGGAAAGTTTGAATTTTATACTATATTTATTTTGCTTTTTGTTTTATAGATTAGCTTCATTCTATTGTTTATTGAGAATTTTTGAAGAAAATCAGTTTTTCCGTGAGGGAGAACTTTTATTAATTTATCGTTATTTATTCATTCACTTTTGTGTACTAGCCTCTCTTAAGTTGATATTAATTATCCTTAAAAGTGCAGTCTTGGGTCTCTAAAAGTTGTATTGGGACATACCATGGATATTCAGTTCGCCCCGTGTGTGGGATTTAGAGACGAGAGACCGTTCACTTACGAACCAAGTTCGCCCAAAGTTCGCTCGTTTATGGCGGCCTTTACGCCCGGAATGACAAAAAGTACTATTTTTCATTCATCCCTTTCACGAAAAGAAAACTGTACATCAACCTAGAAAGCAGCAGCGATACTCTGGTGTAATGGGAGTTATTTTAAATGTGCGTTCTGTGTGAATTGCCGTCAACCATTTGAAAACTCTGGTACGAACAGATGTTGTTGATCAACCAATGTTTCATCACTCCATTCTTCATCTTCGTCGTCTTCGCTATTACATATGCCTGCCAAAAGTTTCTTTTGACGGTTGACGGCAATTCGCACAAAACGCACATTTGAAATAACTGCTATTACACCATAGTATCGCTGCTGCTCTTTCGAATTGACTAAACCTCACGCTTTTAGCTTTCTTTCTAGGTTGATATTCGGTTTTCTTTTCGTAGAAGGGACAGATGATGAAAAGTAGTACTATTCGTCACTAGCCCGAGAGATACTTTCCATCGAATATGAGTTTGCAACACAAGCCGAAGGCCAGAACTGCAATCATAAGAGCTAGAAAAGTTTTTTTAGGTAGTATTACGAACAATATTTTGTGCCATAACGGCTAGAAGCATCGATTCACGGATACTTAGCGTTCGTAACAAGCTGCCTTACGGCTGGAATGACAAAAGATGCATCCCTGATGGTTGAGATTGAAAAAAAAGAATATCGTATGGCATCACAATCTAAGCAACACCCCCTCCTCCCTCCATCACAGTCGTCACGAAATGCAGAGCCCCCTCCCCCGTAATCGCGTGACATAATGTTTGAACGCTCCCCATACATACATACCTACATACACCATCTAGAAATCGTATATTCGGACTTTCTAGATCATATTTAATTACCCTAACACCAAAAATTTGAAATTTAAATTTGAGCGATTATAAAGCTTCCATTCGGAAGCAAAAAGAGAGCTCTGATTAGAATACTCGCTCAATTGGTATCTTTCTAATTATGTAATAATAAAGCAGCCCTTATTCTAAATTTGGCCTTCATTATTTTTACGAACTTAACAATATTATCAATTGAATAATCAATTGCAATAAAATAATTGAATAATCAATTAATGGATTGCTTTACTAAATCATCAGGTATCTGGTTTTGGAACATGTCTCCGGCGGAGAACTTTTCGATTATCTCGTCAAAAAAGCTCGACTGACGCCAAAAGAAGCAAGAAGGTTCTTTCGACAAATTATCTCTGCATTAGATTTTTGTCATAGCCACAACATATGGTAAGAGAGCTTCCTTTCAAATTTATCAATATCATTAAATAAACAACTCTAACCGTTATAATTAACTCAGCCATCGAGATTTGAAGCCTGAAAATTTACTCTTGGATGAGAAGAACAATATAAAAATAGCGGACTTTGGAATGGCATCACTCCAACCAGCTGGATCAATGCTAGAAACGAGCTGCGGTTCACCTCATTACGCTTGTCCCGAAGTCATCAGGGTAAGTATCCTTCAATTTTTCATTCAATCACTATTTTCACCGATGTCACGGAATTAGTGATGTTCCTACTTTTGTACAGGGAGAAAAGTATGATGGTAGAAAAGCAGACGTTTGGTCGTGTGGAGTTATTCTTTACGCACTACTAGTTGGAGCGTTACCATTTGATGATGATAACCTCCGTCAACTACTGGAAAAAGTGAAGAGGGGTGTTTTCCACATTCCTCATTTCGTTCCACCTGATTGTCAGAATCTACTTCGAGGAATGATTGAAGTTAATCCTGATAAACGACTCACGGTAATTATTTCCATATATATATATATGCCTAAAGGAGGCATTGAGAATTTTCATGTATTATGCATGTTATACACGCAAAAAGTAAGAATCAGTACGAGAAATAACGTCAGTTTATATACCGGTTTTATACCAGAAGTGTTCGGTTTCTGAGATACCAAGACTTCCTGGCAGAATTTAATACCAACATTATGTTACACTGCACACGTGTAATTTTTTTAGACGATATTTATATTTAATTCCATTAAATTGTAATGTACCAACCCAATTACACATTGTGCAATCTCAATTCCGCATTCTATGATTCAAATTTGTAAGGCAGATAATACAGTTTCTGATCAGCTAAGCTCAGCAACCTCAATCAAAAATGGTTAAAAATAGAATGTTAAAAAAATTTGGTCTTGCAAACAATTCCTGATCCCAGTTTTGCCTTATTGCTGAGTTTCTGATCTTAAGTAGGAACAGTTTCTGATCGTGAATGGGCCGGAATTAAGGATTCACGTAAAATCTTCTGTTTGATATTTTTGACAGTATTATTAGTATCACATTAGTATAGTATTATTAGTATGGGCTCATTACAACTACTGTAGACAAGCTCTTACTACAGAACATCACATGCATCAAAAAATTTGACTGGGTAAAAATAAATAAAATAACTTCCCGATCAATTCCCATATTTCGGTTCATTGGAAAAAAAAACGAATTTAGAACTTCCCATCCAGATAACGAGAAACCTGTTGAGATAATTTTGCTCAGCATCCAATCAAAATCGAATGCCATCACTGCAAAAAATACCGTTTTGCGAGCGGTCCGAAACTAAGGTCTAAGACCGTAAGTCCGATGAACAGTCTTAAAATCAGATCAATATCCGATTTTACCATGAGATCTTACACAATTTAAGATTATCCATGACTCTAATAATAGGAATAACACCCCGTGTAGATCTCCAATTTAAAGATCGAAAACGGATCTGATTTTAAGATCTTTAGGTTGGTTTAAGTTCTATGAGGTATTAGATTCACTGCTAATGTAAGATCGGTATAGCGAGGAAGATTAAAAATGTAAGACCATTTTTGAGTATTGTCAGTGAATTTGCTCAATCAATAATTTAATGGTTTATTGAGTTACTAATTCAATGAACCATTAATTTACTTATGCATTTCATAAAAGAAATTCCCATGGACGAATGTTGGAAGCCCTAAATCACTCATTTTTGACCCTAGTTTTTCTGACTCATTTTCACCCTTAACTCTAACCCTTATTGCCGCACACTATTTTTAATCCTTACCTCTGACTCTAATTCTGAACCTTATTTCTGACATACATTTTTACCGTTATTTCTGATCTTGGCTGTGATTTTTTCTAAAATCGATGATTTTTTCTCGGATTAAAAAAAAATTACAGGGACATTTGTCTCCCAAGTGTAAACCCATTCCCAATGTTTGAATGAACATAAAAAGGGCATCGGTCAGGATGTTATTGGTTCGCCACATGATAGGTCACACCCAATTTCAGCAAAGTATGTCAGGGTCAAAGTAGAACAATCAAAATATAAAGGTTTAAAGACAAGGGTTAGAATATAACGGTCAGAGCATGAGGGTCTAAATATAAAGATCAAAATATCCGAATATAAAGGTCAAAATATAAATCAAAGTATAAGGGACAGAATATAAGTGTCTGCATACAAGGGTCAAAATATCGGGGTCAAAGTATAAGGAATCTAAGGTTCTAAATAGAAGCGTAAAAATTCAAGGTTCAGAATATAAGGATCTAAAAATGAGGTTAGACATACTTAGGGGTGGACTCTCCCCCTCCGTCGCCTCCCTAGCAATCAGCATGGAATAATTTAAAATAAATAGCAATCAGTTCCATAAAAATTCGGACAATCCGGTCTTACAATTTAGACATGTCGATCTTCGAATAGTGATGCAGATGCGCGGATCGTAGAAAAAATCAAATCTTATCATTATTCTCGGTAAAATTCCTGACTTTTCAAAGAAAACTAATTGAAAAGATTTTCTTTCACACTTTTCATGCGAACAACTAACGAATCGCTGAGACGATCATCTTCATAAACTAATCAGTTCTAAGTTGCATTAACACGCATCGATTGAGAATAAAAAAATCAAATCGCATCATTTATTTGAAAGACAGTGGAATATGTGAAAAAAACATCATTTATGGCGTTTTTTCACATATTTTTTGCGAATTACTGAAGAATTGCTGAGGCTGAGATCGTCTTCACAAACTAATCGGTTTTAAGTTACATGAAGATGCATCGATTGAAAGAAAAATTCAAACCGTTTGTTTTAGAGCAATCGTGTCCCAAAAATTTTTATGTCACAGTCACACACACACACACACACACACACACATACACATACAAACACACACCTCAAGCGAATGAAGCAGGACGCGACAGCCCGTGAGTCCCACCAGTACGTGGAAAAGATCCGGAAGACGGCTACGGGAGACATGTTGATCATCCTCTGAAAGGAGCACAGCGACAAAGCTCCAGGCCTGCAGAACGCCATCACTGAACTCTTTGGAAATGATGCGCAGGTCCTCAGTAAGACACCGGAAGAAGATATCGAAATCAAGGACCTCGAGGAGACAGCAACGAAGGAAGAAATCCTCGAANGAAAGGAGCACAGCGACAAAGCTCCAGGCCTGCAGAACGCCATCACTGAACTCTTTGGAAATGATGCGCAGGTCCTCAGTAAGACACCGGAAGAAGATATCGAAATCAAGGACCTCGAGGAGACAGCAACGAAGGAAGAAATCCTCGAAGCTTTGCAGAAGGCTGCCGGAGAAAGTTGTGGAATTTCGCTAAATGCGATCAAGTCACTGCGGAAGGCATACGGAGGTACCCAGACGGCCTGGGTGAGACTGCCAGTCGCGACGACGAAGAAAATTGTCGGAGAATTCGGCAAGATTAAGATCGGGTGGGTAAACCGCCGGGTCAGGAGAGTGGAGAGACCCCTGAAGTGCTTCAAGTGCTGGGACTTCGGGCATCTTGCCAATAAGTGCAAAAGCTTGGTTGACCGCTCCAAAAACTGTATCAAATGCGGTGAGGATGGTCATCTGGTCGCAAAATGCGAGAAAGATGCCAAATGCGTCCTCTGCATCGCAAAGGGTCGCATGGACAACAGTGCTCATATTGCTAGCAGCGGTAGATGCCCAGCATACAAGGAGGCACTCCAGGCGTTGACCAAAAATCGACGATGAGAATACTTCAGCTTAACCTCAATCACTGCGAGGCTGCATACGATCTTCTTACAAGCCGTACAATTACTGCATGATCAGCCATGGGAGACGGACACCACCGCCAAGGCCGTTATTTGGTCCTGCGGTAAATACCCCTTCCAGAGTGGCGTCAATACTGCGCAGAGCGGCTTTGTGAGAGCTAAGCTGGGTGGAATTCACTTCTACAGCTGCTATGCTCCGCCTAGCCTGTCCATCGATGAGTTTACAGACTTCCTGGATCGATTGACCGAGGACGCGAAGCAGCACTTCCCCATAGCAATCGCTGGGGACTTCAATGCCTGGGCGGTCGACTGGGGCAGCAAGGAGACAAACACGAGGGGACAAACGCTACTGGAGGCCATATCTTTTTTGGACGTGGTACTGCTGAATAGTGGCGAAAAACCAACTTTCGAGAGAGGAGGAGCTAGTTCAATCGTAGACCTCATCTTCGTAAGCAGCAGCCTCGCTAGGGGAAGCTGCAACTGGGAGGTGATGGATATCTACACCGCTAGTGACCACAACACGATTTCCTGGGAAGTATCTGCCGTTCGGAAAACTGGATCGGCAGCCAACAAGACCAACGCGGTTGGATGGAAGTCGAACGCCCTTGACTCCAACTTACTCCGTGAAATATTCGATGATCGCCCGATGCGAGGAAACAACGCCACGGAGAAAGCGGCGGAAGTTATGCGTAGAGTCACCGACGCCTGCGATGCAACTATGCCCCGGAAGCGTAGTACAAGGAACCATCCATCGGTGTACTGGTGGAACAACACCATCGCCACCCTACGAAAGGCATGCATTCGAGCGAGGAGGCAAGCACAATGAGGCCGGAAGAAACCAAACTGCAAAGAACTGGAGATCAAGTATAAGGAGGCACGCCGGACACTCAATAAGGCGATCAAGGAAAGTAAGAGACAGGCGTGGAATGAGCTCCTTGACGAAGTCGAAGTGGACCCGTGGGGGCGACCCTACGGTGTGGTCATGAAGACGTTGAGAAGCCAGCCGATGCTGTCGCTTACGTGCCCTGAGCTTTTGGAGAAAATCGTAACTGTGCTGTTCCCACAACAACCGGAGCTCGACTTCTTCACTGAGAAGTGCGATGCAGAGGCGATCCCTCCAGTGACACTTGAGCAGCTGCTGGAAGCTTGTGGCAGATTCGGGAATGCCAAGGCACCAGGAATGGATGGCATCTCGAATGCCGCCCTGAAAATGGTAATCAACACAGCGCCAGAAGCNACGACCCCACCAGTGTCACTTGAGCAGCTACTGGAAGCTTGTGGCAGACTCGGGAATGCCCAGGCACCAGGAATGAATTGCATCCCGAATGCCGCCCTGAAAGTAGTAATCAACGTAGCGCCAGAAGCCTTCCTGAGTGTCTATAATGCGTGTCTTCAGGAGGGGATATTTCCAACCAAGTGGAAGCAACAGAGACTGGTGCTCCTTCCGAAAGGTAAGAAGCCACCGGACGAACCCTCGTCCTATCGTCCACTCTGCATGCTGGACACAGCCGGAAAAATACTGGAGCGGATACTCCACCAGAGGATCGAGGAAGTGGTCGAACCACAATTGGCTGACAACCAATACGGTTTTCGTAGAGGTCGTTCCACACTCGATGCCATCAACCTAGTCGTCTTCATTGCACGGGACGCAATCTCTGACGCGAGGTAAAAATGGGGCGCGAAGCAGTAATGTTTGGTGGTAACGTTAAACATCAAAAATGCCTTCAACTCCGCCAGATGGGACAACATCATCAA